CATGCATAAATTATGGACCTACATAGGTAAAGTAAACATCAACCTGCTGTTCGATTGATTATAGGTCAAGCCGGCCATGTCATTCGATCACTGGCGGTAAGTCAGCCAATGACACATTGTCGGTGCGTTGTATTAACGATACAACACGCCTTGTGTACCGCAGAGGCAGCCTGTACCAGCTGACATCTTGCAAAAAAGTCTACGTCGCCCCGAAAAAACTTTGACTGAGAGATCCCAGATGCTTTGCAGTATATACGGCACATCTACTTCCATATCGCTCAGTATAGTATCCAAGCTTTTCCAGTTATGCGGTAAGCCCATAAACACTCCTTTGCAGTAATCGTCATAGTTTTCTGTGATGTACAAAGTAAAAAATAGTTTCCGTGCTCACCCCAAAACGCGTTCACGCATGCAGCCGGAAGTACATGTGCGTCAGCTGAGTGACTTAAGACTGCCATTCGTCTTATATATTTCTAATTAATCACGCTGATGCTATTTATGATACAGCCCATCGCACTCTCTCCCACGCAACTGCGCACGCCGCAAGCAGTCACGAAAATGGAGCACTCTGATTAAGGTTTTTCTCCACCAAATATTTGGGCTTGGCAGGCACTTACGTTCTTTAGATGAGATCGGAATAATCGGAACAATGGATACTTCCAGAAATAGTTAGCTTTATTTTTGTCAGTTTCTGTCTGCGACTTCAAAGCTTAAAGGTCTAGAAAAAATAAACTTTGGAAGAATTTTACCCACCAAAGGCCATGCAAAAATGCTTGTGCAATCAACCACCAATCTTCACTTGTGCAATATGTGCTCGGGTTCACCACGCATTAGCTTTGTGACATCTATCCTGCCCATCTAAACATGGTCATACGCTCATAAACCACTGGCGTACTCATCTATCGTGTTTGTGCTACATGCTGACGACGAGGCACCCTGCCGGCAGCTCGCGGCGTGCTGTGGCGGGTCCCAGCGACGCCCTGCCAACAGTATACAGCCTGCTAGAGTGGGATCCCAGTGACGCCCTGCCGGCAGCTCGTGGCGTGCTGTGGCGGGGTTCCAGTGACACCCTGCCAACAGTATACAGCCTGCTGGAGTGGGATCCCAGTGACGCTCTGCCGGCAGCTCGTGGCGTGCTGTGGCGGGGTTCCAGTGACACCCTGCCAACAGTATACAGCCTGCTGGAGTGGGATCCCAGTGACGCTCTGCCGGCAGCTCGTGGCGTGCTGTGGCGGGGTTCCAGTGACACCCTGCCAACATTATACAGCCTGCTGGAGTGGGATCCCAGTGACGCCCTGCCGGCAGCTCGTGGTGTGCTGTAGCGCGGGGTTCCCGTGACCCGTGCCCTCCCTCGCGGTGGTGGCGGCGTCAGGGCTGCCGTGAAGCGGTCTGAGTGAGGTGCAAGGTACAGGTACATCTACTTTTTACATCAAAAGATCCGCTATTCAACCCTCTACATGCGGAGTCGCGGTGAGCCATGCAGTGATGGGCACAGCTACGCCGCGCCGTTCTGAAGTAATTCTAGAAAAACCTTCGGTGGTCAAAGTGAATTTAATTGCGTTAAATTAATTGCATCACTTATTCACTTGAGAGTAATGTTGCTTATTTGACGGTGAGACCAAACACAACGTTGTGCGAGGGAGGGGTGTTCTTGTGTTAGTGCGTGCACTGCTTGATACAATAAACATACATGTTTTGTGTCTCTGAGACGTTAAATATCCGACCACAAAAACGTACCCCGATAGGGTGTGTGGGGGCCAACTCAATCCACAAAGCTCACAACCTACTTTTTTGCCCTTGATAGAGAGAATGCTACCCCATGTAAAACAGTAGTTTTATTTAGGGTATAATTTTGCGTAACACGCGGGGGCGTGCGAAATTTTTTGTCGAAAGTTGGCGTTGCACCACATATTTTAATTCAACAACGACATGGTACCAACAACTGTAATCAACAACACAATCCTAATGAATATACCTCAATAATGTTCAGGGTGTTCAAAAACTTATAACGAACAAGACACATAGACCAATATATGCATGGGATTGAGGCTTAAAGTAAACTGCTTCAATTACATGCATAAAAATGCGCTATAAAAACAACGGCACCGATGAGTTTGTTGTAACTGTGCAGTATTGAAAAAAGCATTTGCCACTAATAGGACCACCTCGTGCTTCCTAACCATCAACTTGCTGTTGCGGAGCTGAGGCATGTGCAAATTTTCGTTATGCGTGTAATATGATGCAAGCTTTTTTGAGTTAATGTGGGCTAGTTCTTCATCAGCATAACAAAGCAATAACCTTAATAAAGTGACCGCCTTGCAAGATGAGTTTGAGTTAAATGCTTAACATTGCGCCGCATTAAGTAATATCATTTTCTCCTGCACATGGTATGCACCTCTCCCTCGCAGTAGAAAAGTCTGAGTTAATCCCGAATCGTTGAATTTCCTGCAATGGATTAAAACCGGGATTACAAGTGAAACTCAAACTTACCCCAACACTGCATAGAAAAGCGTTAGTGATGTTAGAAATGATACCACTGGCTCACTTAAAGATGTGATCTATGCATCCGAGCCTAACTACGCATGGCTACTTTCTAGGTCACAGGTGATATCTTTTGACAAAAAAAGTTTGTAAGGTGGCCATTCAAGGACATCGCTTTTTTCTCCAAACCCGTTGGCTGCAATGCGTAAAACCCCCGTCCCCCCCCAAAAAAAGAACGTATATTGCCGCGTGAATATACCAATCATCGTGGCAAAAGTCCAACTTCGGTAGAGCGCTGAAGTCGTAGTGGCCACATTCGTGGTGTAGCGAAACGCGTGGTGGAGGGTTCGCCTTCCAGTATTCGTGCAGGGCTGGTCAAAGAAGACCATTTGGCCGATGTTTTGACAGTGTCAGCCTGGTCACAGGGCGTCCGACAGTCGTGTAGTCGCATGCCACGGTAAAGGTCCTTTGGTGCTATTGGGAAAAGGGGCTGAGGCCAAATGGATACGTTGAACGTGCATTACAGTGATGGGATGGCGTTATCTCCGAATGCTGCGAATAACTTATGTTAAGCATGGAATCGGTTTAAAAATACGTCCTGACAAAACTTGTCACGTGTATATTGTTGCTCGTTTTGTAGCTGAACTGGACCTGTAAACTGAGCCAACGATGCCCACAAAGAAATTTTACCCGATTTTGTTCTCTCATGAGGTACAGCAAAGCAATTCGGGCCTCAGCATCAAGTTAGCCATATTAGACCAGTAGCCCAGCACGGATAGAAGACCAAATGCCGCTTGGCATAGAACGGTCTCCACGAGATCGCTAAATTAGTGGCGTCGATATCATGTTTATGTTACGGGAAAGAGTGCCTTGGCTTCCGTTAAACGTCTAAAAAAGTCAAATATAAAATGGTTTACCCTCAATGGCTCAATACGCGCTCGGGTGGGAGGGTCAGATTGAACCACCCCCCCCCCTCCCCAAGGTTTTTTTCCAAAATGGTTTCCGAACGGCGCGCGTAGCCGCGCCAAATTTTGCATAGCTGTAGACAATTGAATATCGGATCGGTTCCAATCAAAAATTTAGATGTACCTTGTATGGTCGCTGACCTATGATAGGTTAAAGTCAGACCATGGTTTCAGAGAAGTCAATTTCCAGGGAATCGTTTAATGTGATGCAGCAACGGAGTGTTAGACGAAGCCATGCATCTTTGAGATGCTTTCTTAGGCAACACCAATATTGAATGAGCAAATAAGTTTGACCTAAGGTCAGGTATCAAGGTCACACCAAGGTCAAACCAACCTGTTTTATTACTCTGGGATTTGCTGTATGGGATAGTTTCTGATGCTCATTTCGAATTTATTGATAGCAGGAATCGCATTATACACCTTCCATGGACTTCTTAGAGGTCAGAAAAAGTAACTGACCTAAAATGAGCTAGGTCAACATTTTGCTTTAGGAACATGCTGCCTATCGTAATCTTGGTCGCTTAGTCAAACGCAAAACTCAAAGTAATCTTGTGTGATTTTGGACACTTTGACCTTCAAAAGATCAAACAAGGTCACTGACCTTAAATGAGAATGTGACCTTTTGCTTAGAAACTCTATCTACTATCTGAAACTCTATCTACTATCTAAACTCTATCTATCTACACTCTGGGGGCACTTTGAAGACTAACCTGAAACTTGACTTTGTTTGACCTTTTTTGACCCAAAGGTCATAACCTAGGAACCTGAAACTTTGACCTAAGAGAGTTCACGTACCGGTCAACACACTCTCTAAATTTGATGTCTCTAGCTTTCTTAGTTCCCGAGATCTCAGGGTGGTCAAATTGATCCCCCTCCCCTGCCCGAGCGAAGGGAATCTAGCCGGACACCCGAACGTGTGTTAAGTAACCGTCCTTATTTGAGGAAATAATTTTGAAGTTACAGATTCCAATTACCCGGTGCATCCCTCATGGCGACGCGACAACGAGGAGGGATCAAAGAAGATGGTCTTTGTGTGCTGGTCAACTTTTTACCACGTGTTTGTAGCATTCCAGTCAAAAGTATTGAGGCCCCGAGTCAACGGTGGAAGAAACTCAACATTGAGGGAGGGGGCAGGGCCCTCGCAAAAATGAAATCGACACCCGTGCAAGGCATTTCTGTTGTGCGCCATTTCATTTATAAATTTTCAAAGGTGCCCGTGCTGTATACCTGGCTGTCTTTTCAGTCTCTATTCGGAGATTCGCATCGATTTACCGGTAGAATATTCAACTGGGATGAATGTAGATTATTTTATTGCTTACGAATCCGCTGAGAAGAAGTGGCACATGTACGTTACACGAACGGCAACAGTTTATTTTACTCGCTAAGGTGAATGAGAAAGAATATCTACTGTGCGACATAAGCGGGATGTAACAAACCTTTTCCGATTTCGGGGCTTTCATTCATCTGTAACCGGAATATTTACTACGGATTCACCACATTGGCTACCTTCGAATTGAAAAATTACGGATGAAAATTTGATCTCTCTGGGTCACGATGCGTGACTTCAGCAGCGCTGGCATCGACTATTATGGCGTATTGGAGATAGAAAAGCATGCCTCCGACAGGGAAATCAAAGAATCTTACCGGCGGCTAGCTTTGAAATACCACCCAGTGCGCAATCGGGATCACTTCGAAAAGGAACCTCAGCGATTTCAGCAGCTATGTGAGGCCTACGACGTCTTGAGCTCGTCCCTGTACCGAACGATCTACGACCAGTACGGTGAGGCTGGCTTGAAGCGGGGCGTGCCGCGCCCGGAAGGAGGATTCTACGACCCATACGTCTACTGCGGCGAACCGGAGGAGACTTTCCGCGAATTCTTCGGCACCAACAGCCCCTATGCAGACATAATCGACAACATCAAAAAGCCGCTTTCGCACTACCAGGGTGACGACGGCACGTGCCAGCGCAAAAAGGCGCCGGACCTGGTGACGCCACTGGTGCTAAGCCTGCAGGAGCTCTACACCGGTTGCCTGAAGAAGGTGCGCGTCAGCCGACGCGTGCTGGACGACAGTGGCACCAATACCACCCTCTGCGAGAAGATTCTCACACTGCACATTGAGCCTGGTTGGCCTGCCGGCAAAACGATCACCTTCCGCGAGGAGGGCGACCAGGGTCCCAACATCATCCCCGGCGACCTCGTGTTCGTGCTGGAGGACGCCGCCCACGCGCAGTTCGAACGCGACGGCCACGATCTGGTGTACCTGATGCGCGTGCCGCTGGTACACGCGCTTACCGGCTGCAGCGTGGACGTCGAGACCCTGGACGGACGGCTGTTACACGTTAGCGTTCACGACGTGGTCTTCCCTGGCTTTAAAAAGGTGGTGCGCGGGGAGGGTATGCCGGTGCCGGGGCCGCCGCCGCTGCCGACCGGCGGCCGTCCGCCTCCCCCGGGTCGCCGTCACCCGCACGGCGACCTGATCATCAAGTTTGAGGTCGACTTTCCCCGACGGCTGACGCAGATGCAGCGACACGCACTACGCGCCATCCTCCTGGCTGGGCCTAAATAACTGGACGAGCTGAGGACCGGGCGGGTTCCCTGTCGTTATGGATATCGTGTACACCGGGTTGATGTGTCGGAGTCTAAGTTGCAGTCGAAACATGAGACGCATTCTCCATGGTCCAGAGAGTTTGTTACGACGATTTACGGCGTGTAGAGCTACGTCATGCGACGTGGTTAGTGCAGTGCCAATCAGTATGTCTACGAATTAGCATACCTATCCCAGAAGGAAAATATCATCCCTCCCTGAGGAAATCGTGAAAATCGCTGTCGTCGTGCTTTTGTTGTCCTGCCGTCCTGCGCTCCGAAGCAAATGAAGCAGTTGACTTCTTGAAAGAACCTTTCTGACAAATGACCCATTGCATGAAGCTTACCGAAAACACACATGCGATCAAAGCCTTGGCTAACATGTTAACCTGTCAGTTGGTGGGACCCTCACCACAGATTCAACTATTTTAGCTATTTAACACCATCTGCATTATGGGGACCAGGGGTGCCGTGTCACTTCTTAAACGGCTTGGGGGCTAAGGTGGTAGGGTCAGCCAAAGATCAAAAAGTGATATCTCCCGGAGATATCGGCTACCTTAATTTTTCGGGTCTATAACACAAAATGGCATAGGTTGTTCGCTCCCATTTGGTTTTTACCATGTAGGGATGACTTTCCACTGCAAGGAAATGTGAAACGAAAGTTGTGTGAAAAGCTTAGAATGGAGTGTAATTCACAGCAACGAAACATCTTAGTAATTCCAGCCATTGTGAACAAAGAACAGGATGTTTTTGCTTCCCATAGAACGTGGCCCGATGCCCCCCAAAAACGGTATGCGTATGGGAAAGTTTGGGGAAAAAGCGTTGAGAAAGCTTTGACTACACGGTCACGACATACCTATATATAAAGTGCGCTGCGCGGGTCCCTCTCCTGGTGTGACAGATCCTCCGATCGGGGGAGCTGGCAATAGATTGACGCCGCAGTGGCCGTTACTGACGCAAAGGACCCATTACTAGCGTGTGAAGTCCAATAATTGGCAAAGGGACACCAACTCGGCTTACCGTCCCCTGCTTGAAACAGTGTAGAGGGACCCTCGCTCGGTACTGTGACCTCTGACTGACACGGGGCACTTCTACTGTCTCAATGTGAAAGTGAAACCTTTCATAGTCATTGCTCATGTGTCTTCATTGTGAAACGGTCCCGAACCAACGCCAGAGGCCTTTTGACATTTGGGGTTCCGTAGCTGTCCCTGCTCAGGAAATGTGCCACTGGTCGACTTTGGGCACGTTGTCGACACAGAGTCCCCTGTTAGGCACTGTGATCCCACCCACGATCATCTCGCCCACCACAGGTAGCCCTCCACCGTTTTCAGGGGACCGGCTAATGCAAGGGGCCTTCTGATTGACGTTTGCAGGCTTGCCCTTGCCTATGCTTGAGAAAGGGTCTCATGGGGCCTTGACCGGCACGGAATCGGCTGTTCGGTATTGGTGGTCTCAGTCAGCTGATTGAGGACTCCACTGTCACAGGAGCCGCGACCGATGTAACAGGCCCTCTTACTGGGATTTTGTGGTTAGGGTTAGGCTAGGTGTGACTGAGTGCCCTCTGCAAATCAAGATTATACGATGCCCCAAAAGGAAAGCTTTTGGTGCCCTGCACCGAGAGGGCTGATCAAGGTTTTCGTCAGCGTGGAAGGCAAAAATATTGTTGTGCCCTTATATTTGGTGCCACCCGGAATCAAGACTTCGTGGTCCTTTTAATGGTCCGCTTAAATTTGGTGCCTGTAGAGGACAACTGTTATGGTACTCCGAATTCAATGTTTTAGTGCTTCTTCGCCGAATGGCCGTCCAAGGATTTAGGCATTGGAAGGACACGGGCATGATGGCGTTCCGTAGAGTTTGTTGCCACTTGAAAATGAAGCACTTCGGGCTCGTTTTAGTGCTACCTGGAATTGGGCAACTCTGGAATACAAAGTTCACGATGCCCCTAAACGAAGGTTCTGGAGCCTCTCCACCAACCGGACAAATACAGCATTTTGTCAGCGTGAACGGTGAAGAATTGTGGTGCCCTTGGATTTAGGTCCCCTTAAAAACAAAGGCTTTGGACCCTTTAAATGGCCCACTTTGATTTGTTGCCTCATGAAAATGAAAGTTGTGGTGCTCATAAATATTTCATTTAGAAATCAGAAGGAAAGAAAGCTCTGGTGCCCACTCTCCCCAGCGGCCGCTCCAGGAATTCGTCAAATTGGGAGACAAAACATTAATGCGTCCCTGGAATGTGATGCGTCCTGATGATAAAGGTGTGGGGCCTGTGTGACGCCATCTTGAACGGATTACCCCAAAATAAATGTTACAGTGCTCTGAAATAAAGGTTTTGGTGCCCGGCCAACCTGTGATTTTGATGCTCCCTCAAGGCAGTAAAACCTCGTTGAGCCCCAAGAGGCAGGGTGTGGCCCCATGCCCCCCTCCCATGCAGATATGCAGATAATTATATCACTGCCCTTGTGCGATGTATCTAATAACGTAAAACAAATATTAATGCGGGGAGATGATAAAATGGAACTGATTCAGAAAACAATAAAATATTCAGCGCTCAGCTGGTGCCGCCATCGTAGTACTTCTCAGTTTAGCGAAGACCCCAGGGCTGCTCCGTGTCCGCTGTCGCTGATTCTCGAGCCGTAAACTCCGCAGAAATATTGAGCGTGACACAAAAGCGTAAGCCTTCAAAACCGTGGCCAAAAGCTAGTTCTAACAAGACTCGCAGAAAGTTTTGGAACCAGGAACGAGTACACGATTGGACAGCCCGCCTGCAAGACAGCGTGTTAGCAAAGCACGAAACTCTTAGCTCGTAGCCTAATGTAAATGAGCACTATTTCTATTTGGCCCGAACTTATTTGATGTAATATTAAGTATTGCAAATTAATGCTGAAAGATTATACATGAAAGATATACATGAAATACAAAACATGAAGCATGTCGTAAATTCGATATACCCTTGGTTCTTCCCAAAAAGCGACAGTCAGTGAGCCGGGCCTCTGTCTCAGGCTCAAGTTTTTCATTTTCCATTACAAATGACAGAAGGGTGTCGAAAAAGTGAGAAAAATAGGCGGGGTACGTATGCAGTGAGCTCCGGGTTCCTCACAAAATCATTGCAGCGACCCTTTTCCCAAAACGAACACACGACGTATCAGCTGCCGTCCATCTGATTTTGGAGCGACATCCCGGCCATCAGCCAACCAGTCCGGTGCGCCACATTTGCAAAGCTTTAGCAAAAGTGCACAGCATAGCTTAAGGACGGAGAAAAATTGACTTACCATTACGTGCTTCCGATTCCTCCACCTCCCGAAGCCGGTGGTCCGCAAACGGTACAGTTGGCGGAAATGCAGGTGTTCGAGAATGTTCAAGCGCGGCAAAAAGGTGTAATCACCAAAGTTCAGTTCACGCTGTTTTTATGGAACAAAATTGCTTCAGTGTGTAGTGTTTAGCTTAAATTGCGTTGCTGTTTGGCAAATGGAAAGTGCATGAAAACAGCACTGTTCTTATCATCAATTTATCAGAACAAATGTAATTATTTTGCCGTCTGCTGGATGAATGCCGTGTAATTTTTGCTGTTGCTTGTCAAAAAAGTTGCAATAAAAGTTTCATGTGGAAAATTACTTGTCCTAAAATTCGTAAACGCTACAAGAGCTTCAACAAGACTAAACTGTAAACTGCATGTGATTAAGCTTATATTCAGGCTAAACAAACCCACTGCGACTTGATTACAGCGTCACTTTTCAATCACAAGCATATTGTAAAATGCATAACTTTATTGTAGGTGTCGCTGGCGGCGATATGCTGAGAACTTTGTGAAAATCGTGAACAGTCTCCAAGTGTTTAGGGTGGCACGCTGAGAAGTCTGCAAAATTAGCGGAGTCTCAAAGTCTTCACAAGAGGGCCGCCTCTCCTCATGATTTACTGAAGTGACAAATTGGTCTCAGATGAGACCTTGTAGAAAGAGGTCACATCGTGGAGTCCGCACAGCATCCTTCAGAGGGATCTACGGTATAAGATGTCGAAGGCAGTTTTCAGTGTACATCATGTTTCTTTGCAAGCCATTGCCATGTTATGCTACAAATATATTATAGGTCGAATCCAAGACGTTTTTCCGTGCCGGGAACGCATCATATCTAATATTCTTTGTTGAGGCTTAGAACTCATATTGTCGATGCATCGCCTGGCTCACATCCCTCAATTAGAATGCAGGAAATTTGTGTGATCTTCCAAGGAACTCGAAACATATTGCGCAATATTTGAAGCTATCCATGTTAACAACACAAAACATATTACTCACATCCCAGGGAGCTGGCCGTATGTTCTACTTCAAGAAAGAATATCGCGTCAAAAGTCCACAAATTCTGACAGGTTTGCCGTTTTCTGCAAACCCCACCAACATTTCGATATTCGCGCCATGACATGTCACTCCTGTAGCGTTACGAGTTAGACGAGGTGTATAAATTATCACTTTGCGTGTAACCATTCGCTGTGTGGTTTGATTCCCTGTGGTGCCCGCCATTTCTGCCAGGATGAGAGGCAGGCGTAGCCATTGAGTCTCAGAAAAGTCGCAAAGCCCAATGACGCACAAAACATTTTTGTGAGCTTAGAGACTTACAAATTGCAGCTTTTTGTGGGTTTCATTTTACGTAAGTTATTTGGTGATGATGGTAAGTGCCTTTCTCTAATCCTAACTTGTTTGTCGGTACAAAATTATACATTATCTTTACTTCGAAGAACTGATATGGTATCGGGAGCCAGGCTCCACATTGTGAAGGCCGAGCAAAATATAGTGGTGCCTCAGACAATTATTGGGGGGGGGGGGCAAATTTGGGCGACCCCAGTCTAACATTGGGGTCCAGCTCAACACTGGGAGAGCCATCCCCCTCCCCCAAAAGAGATGCAAAGTTCCACGTTGGTTTCAGGCACTGAGTAGCGCCGTGCTGTGAACTGCACTAAATGATCTTCAAGATTGCTATTTCATTGCAAAACCCCAAAGAAATGTAGAACACTCCCTTAAGTCCCCGCCGTAAAATTATACCACTGACCTGGCGTTCTTCGATCGATAGATGGTGTCGGAGCTCACCCAACGAGGACAACCTAGCAAAGGCGCTGATCCCAGGCATCTATCCAGCCAAAAGCTTAGGGCTAAATCCTTAAAACAAATCAGAGAAATCAAATACTGCAACCGATTCCTTGGTTGTATTTCGTACGTGCTACCGAATTAGGACCAAATGGCGATGGTCTACTGCCCACTGCCTATAGTTCCAGAATTTACCTCCGATACATAAGGCGCACTGGAGCGCAGGGGACTTTATTCTTGCTGTAGTTGTACCTACCTAAAACCCGGCACAAAATCTAACGGGAAAAAACGCGCTACAATTGTAAATTCCCTCCCCTGTGCTCTCGGAAGGCTGTTCTACGTCATTAGCGTGCCAATAATCCGTGGTTTACTGTAGCCAGCCACCGTCTGAGCACCTCGGGTCTCGAAATGCACCGGTTCCATTGCCGCGTGGGCATGGGAAACATTAGCAGAATGAGGTGTTTAGAGTAAAGCCGAGTCCCCTCTGGTCCTGTGGTAAGTTTTGGGACTACGATTAAATATATCCGGCATTGACAACAGCCTGTTTAATTCATTTCTTCTACGAGGAAACGAAACAACATTAAAACAGAAGCAGAAAAACAGAAACAAATAAAAACAGAACAAAGTTAGAAAGCAAAGATGCAGCAGAAAAATTGGGTTCCTCCAGCCACAGGACCTCATTTACGGTGGCATAACTTCCTGTCCAGCCTCGAAAGCTTATTGGCGCCAGTCTACATCTTGATGCTCTTGTGCGTACAGTTACGGATTTTCACCAACATCCATGGAAGTCACCATATCACCATGGCGGAAAGTGGCGTACCCACTGTATGCGGCGGGTGTGTGGTAGCGATCAAAGTAACGTTCATCAAAAATAGACTGATTTTAACATTTCGTCATTCAAAGATGCTCGTTCCCGGGTCTGTCTAAACACATTCTCAATATCTTCCACACATATACTGCAAAACTCCAAGCACTGTTCCCCGGATTCCCAAATTTCACGCGGAGATCTATGCTGGACATTTGGATCTCCGTGGACAAATCCAAAAACAAGATAAAACAAGCATGGCGCCTGAGCACCAATGCCGTGAAAATCAGCGAAGAACGCGTTCTTGGATCAGTCGCATGAAGATCAAGAGTGCCGATAAAACGCACGTGTTTTTTTGCCCTAACAGTCAATTTCGTTCTTCGGAAATCAGCAAATTCGAATTCGCTTTGGTCCTTGCTCTGGTCACTTCTTACCTGCTTGACGCATGCAGACTGCGCTCCCTAGAATCGGACACAGTGACGGCACTGGCGATCCGTCCAGAATTGACTCAAGGTTGTTGAAAAGTCTAGTCAATGCAGTGAAATCCGAGCAGAGTTAGTGCACCGTCGCAGCTTTATGGGATTCGTCCGGTGCTGTGCTTACCATGCATATTGAGTGCTGTTTGTGCATGTTTCTGTTAATTCGCTTGGTTGAAGGGCGGTCAGTTAATATCTTCAGTGACGAGGAGAAAGAAAAATGTGAAGATGCACGGAAAAAGTTCTTGACGTCAACCGATAGAATAATGAGAAATTGGCACGGCGAGGATGTGCGAAAAATCGTCTTTGAAGGGGATATGGTTCTCTCATCTACCCAGAAAGGTCGCTGGGGTAAAACGGGATATCTCACTGAAAACAGCAGCCCTCTTATCCATGAGAAATGGCCAAAAAACACCGTCAACTATGCATTCAGCACTCCCACTCCTGACAAGCCAATGATCCTCAAGGCCATGGAAGAATGGTCAACAAAAACGTGCATGAAATTTGCAGAGGGCACGGGGAACGTGCTGCGCATTTTCCAAGGCACTGGCTGTTACGCCCAGGTAGGGTACCACTCCAAGAACATGCAAATGTCCGTCTCCGAGATATGTGACAAGGGCACAGTGGTCCACCTGCTTGGACACGTGATAGGACTGGTGCATCAGCACTCCAGGCCCGACCGTGACCGTTTCCTGCACATCCAGTTCCACAACACAGCGCTGGAGGATGTCCTCTTCCTCAACTATAAGGATTACGACAAGTGCCCGTACGACTACCGGTCCGTCATGCACTACGACATGTACGGGCTGAGCTACAACGGCGAGAGTGTCTTCCTTGGCAGATCAGAGGACAAGAAAGTGGACGGGCTGGTGCTGTCTTCTGCCATTGGGACCGATTGGACCAAGCCGTCCGACAGCGACGCGGCCCTCGTCAACCGCGAGTACGGCTGCCCGCTCAAAAGTGCAGCGACCTCAAGCCGCAACCGCCAAAGTGCAATCAGGACGTTCGCGCGGATCAAGTGCACTTCGAACGGAGCGTCACCTTCAAGAGCATGATGACTGACCGCCACAAAGCTATCTCGTGCATCTGGAAGACGGAGGTGCCCGAGACGTTGCCCTGCTCCCGCGCCGCCATCTCGGTCACGCTCTCGGAGAAGCCCGACGACGATCTGAAACGCGTCTGGTTCGCCAGCGGCTGCCGCCTGTTCCACGTGGAGATCTTCGACCCGGACGCAGACATGAGCTACTTCTACTGTGCAGCTCAGTTCGCCAGGAAGGCCACCAAGGTGTTCGTGTCAACGGCACGGAAGATCTATGGCATTGTGCGCCTGTACCCGGCCGACTGGGAGGGCTTCGAGACGGCTGCCCTTGAAACGGGCAAGGTCAAGTTTTTCAACATCAAGGACTTCGTGTGCGCCGGGGAAATAAACGGCAAGTGTTTCTAGGTTTCGGCGAAGCGCTCAGCGTCCGTTGCTGACAATGCTTGTCTGATGTGTGACGCATTCGAGTCGCATCGTACGCGGCAAACTGTGAGGTGTGTACGTACAAATGATATGTGATATTTGATAAATAATGACTTTGACATGCTTGTTCATCCTTTACAAATATGTAAGTTTTGCTAGTCCGTGTCTCACCTCCGGCTCACTGGTACCCATGGTACGTGCAAAGTCACTTCTGTATTTGATACTTCTCACAGGCACTCATCATAGTGCGTCCTGCCGACATGTCCATCCCCGCGCCGGGAGGCTCTCAGAATCTTCCCCTTATTACCGCCTCCTTTCTTGCCCCTCCCCCCCCCCCCTCTGGCCGCGTCCTTCGCACGGGCGCCAGCCAGGAGAACAATGCGGGCGCCTCTAAGCGGCGCTCGCCAAACTGCGCAAACATTCACTGGCTAGCACAGAGGTGTTCTTTGACACCGTACAAATATTTTACTTGTGCTCAGAGCAGTCAACCAGCAGGCTATGTATGTGTGTGTGATGGGTAATGACTTTGGCATGCTTGTTCAGCCTTTTAAATGTCTGGCTTGTGCTGTCATCCAGGAGAGATTGAGCAGCGCGTCATGTTAGTGGCAGTAACAACCACCAATACCAAGTCGTGTTTTGCATATTCCATCGACGCCACAATATAGCTGGAGCGTGTATTTCGGATATGGTGGCCGTCAGCTTCCGACTTTGCTAGCTGACATGGGACTGTCCGCTGATTGTAAGGCCAGGTATAGCCATGTACGTAAAGGTCGGGTATAGCCATGTACGTTAAGGTCGGGCATAACGATATACGTTGGAAAACTTGATAGCATTTGAAGAATGTTTGAAGTTATTTCAAACCAACTGTAGCCGATTATGTCGGCTGTTATGCTGCGTTTCATTTTGCGCACGCTTAGCCTAAACAGAAATATGGGCGAAATACCTCAAGCTGCATTGCTGTGGCCAATATGTTGTAAGAAATGACGATGCGCTCCTTTCCTCACTGAAATGCATCGCGCGAAATATGAGATAATTTGTGCTGCATTTAGCACTGCTGACCGGAGCTTCACTCTATATATATGTGTAGTTGTATACAATGATCGTAACCGCCGCTGGGGTCGGTGAGCCCGGACTAGGAGGGTGCTTACATAATAGCCACCTGGGAAACATGCACCTATGACATACTCGCCCTCCTATCAAGGCTATTATGGCATGCATTTTATCTGTACGTGAACGTGTGCTGAGAGCAAGAAATTCCAGAAGGCCACGTTCAACAAGAATATTGAGAATATGCCATGCTGCGATGAACGAGAGCAAGTGATGCTGTTGGATTGAGAACATGTGCTGTTTTTTCACGCCAAACAAGGAATTCGCGCTAAGGTTGAAAACTAAGCTCCGTGCGCTTGCGGTGTAGTAGAGCTAGTTTCCTGTGAAACTTTAGGAGTTGTGTCCCCATCGCAATATCTCGCTTGCGTCCAAGGCCCAGACCCCAGTGGGTTTGGGCAAATTAGAGTATGCAGTTCTGGATCACTCATAAGGTGATGTCTGATAATTAACTATTTACGTAGCGAAGCATAGATATAACAATATTATGAATTTGGCAGCCTTTTGTCAGACTGAAAGTGGCGCAGATGTTTCAGTAGGACCTTTTTTAATCAGGATGCGGATGCACGGGCTGAAAGCCGTGGCATGTGCATGTGTTGAGGGGGCCGGGTTGGAATGTTCCTGCGCGGGTATGGGAAAGTCCAAGCCAAATGAATATGTTATCATCGAACCCACAATGTAAGACAAATATCATCAAATGATTCACGTGGGTGCGCTAGCAGGTGCTTAGTTTGCAGGGCTGTGGGAACATTTCAAGATGTGGTGTAGCGGGGGCCGGGTGTGAAGTTAGTTTTTACCATATACCACCCAGACTGGCATCGAAATTTTGCGAAATGAGAAGGCCACTGGACTGCCTAGCCATCACACCCGTTGTGATGCCTATGCTATTTTGCACTTACTCCTAGTGTACTGCCACAACCTGACACTGGTGATGGTCTGCTCTTGCTCAGGAGATGGAGGTAGACTGATGGTTTGGGTAAGACACTGGCAGGCTGGATATAATGCTGCTGGAGTGCTCACTGTTACCAAAGGGGAGGGGGCAGGTTCCTGGGAAGGGGGGCAAGGTAGTGTGCCCCTTGGTCAAGCTGCACATGACTTGCTTGCTGAGCATTAACTAAAAATGCACATGTACTGTGCATGCAACATGTAATGTTAAGTACATACAGCAAGCAGCGACCATATTATATTCATCCTCATATCCCATTTAAGTACATTAAGCTTACTTTGATGCTTGAATGCATGCAGCTCATGACTTTGCTGCTTCCATTTGGCTCCTTACTCAGTTGAAAAGCAGCATCCAAATATCTGGCTTTTGTTTATGCATTTGTGTATGGCAGTTTTGTGTGAAGCACATCATGATCAATATATTTGAATTGTAAACCCCCACAGCTTTGTTGACCATAGTTTTTCCTTACAGAGAATGGATTGGACCCTCTCCAGCTGACTGCTCAAATGCTGATTATTTTGAATATGGTATCAGGGAGGCAATGAGATCCCTGTTTGGGGAGGTCAGTATATATGACTTTCCTTATTTCTCTTCTTCAGGTTCCTGATTGGTAGCAATTTGTATCATCTTGAGGATTTTTGTGCTTCACCGTCATACCTGACTGATGTCAACATTTCCAGCCATGGTTTACCTAGGGTTGAATGAACACATGCAAAATGGTAACATTAATTATGATGTTTTATGTGAGGTGTCAGAGATTGACCACTAAAATTTCACTTCTAGCTCAACTGGAGCAACAAAGCAGCTGATTCCCCTTGTCCCATCAGCTGTGCCATGCCTCATATTGTTCACTGGCACTGACAAGTGCTGGTTGGTGTCCGCAGTTTGGGGCATCTGTTCCACTAGAGGTGGTCTCGTACGAGCTGGCCCGCTGCCGGGCCAAGCTCCGCGTGCCCGCCGACGCGGCTGACCGCGTCACCGCTGCGCTCACGCTCTGCTCCCAGCTGCTAGGCACTCCTTGCGTGGTGCACGTACACGGCCAGCCGCGGTCGAGGCCGCGCCCAAGCGCTACTTCTGCGCGTGACGTACATAGCTCCAGCAGCGAGTGGCAGTCGGCGGGCGGACGCCAGAGGTTCAGCAGGCGGACGCCAGAGGCTCAGCAGGCGGACCCAGGAGGCACGGCAGGCGGAGGCGGGCGGACGGACGCTGAGCGGCTTTGGCCCCGCGGCCGCCGCTGCCCACCGCGAGTGGAAGTGTCAGTGGTGCGTGGCGCACCCCGGGAAGCCGGAATGGCATATCATCTGTGTTGGCGGCTGGTCCCACGCGTGGGCGAGCTTGCCGCATCGCGGGTTGGGGTCTTGCATGGAAGTGCATCACGGCACCGCGCTGTTGTGCGCTGGGCCTCCGGCCCAGGTTCGTAAGACGGCTGTTACCCGTGCTGCGCCCCGAGGCCTAGAGCGCTGTTGAATGCAGATTGCAGAGCGACACGTCACCCGTTCAGCAGTGCTACGGGCTTGGGCTGTAGACCGTTTTGAAGCTGTCAGGACACTGACCCCGGTTTCATGCGTAACGCTGGCCGTCTGGCGTTGTGAGGCCTCTGCTTGGTCGATGACCACCGCGCCAACAGATGTGAGATACATTTTCTTATCAAATTTTATTCGTGAAACCAGTCAGTAAAACAGAACAAGTAGGACAGCTCTAGGCCGGGTGTCTGTACGTGCCGGCGTGCCGTGCCAGCGCCGTCCACAGCGGCGAGGGGGTCGACAGTCGGCGGCAGGGAGCAACACCAGGGTGCGCTGACGGTCGGCGGCGCCCGCAGGAGGCGTGCGCGCAGCCCCCACACCGGCTGAGTATACAGCGCTGGCTCCGAGGTTGCACAACCCACGGCAAGGCACCCCCGTTGTTCGTGGTAACTGGCGGCAGTACGCTCTGGTCCAAGATCGAGCCAGTAGGCAAGGAAGTGATAACACACACACGCACATCGATCATTATGCAATACCAGTGTTCCCAGATCGGTCAGGTAAAATGACAGGAAAATCACGAGTGTGACCACAGGACAGTGTGCCCCTCACTAGACCGTGCCCGAGTACAAAGTCGCGTGAGGCTGTACTGACCAGTAATTCACCTAGCGCCTGACCGCAGACAAGTTGAATCAAAACTACAGCCGACTCCGTCTCGTGCGACGAGTTAGATCCCTCCTCGGACAGCGGGGCTCGAGACGCATTCTGGACGGCTCAACTCGGAGGACGCGCGTTGAACGACGGGCCCGAGAGGACAGTCTCGTCCGTGCGACGCATCCGCCTAGCGGCCGTCCGCGGCAGGTGAAACTGCGGACGAGTTCGCCAGGTGGCAGGACGTGCGGCGATTTCCGATCCTGAGCGAAGGTGTGGTGCTGGTGCCGGCGGTGGGGGTGACGGGCGCCGCCCTCCTCAGGCGCGGCCCTCCTGACACGCAGGGCTGGGGCCGCGCCGTCATACGGCGCGCGCTGGCGCCCGGCGGCGACCCGTGCACCCCGGTTACGCTACCCGCCCGGCCCGGCCGGCGGCCAGGCCGGGCGAGTAGCCACTCTAGCCTCAGCAGCCAGCCGACTTGCTGTCGGCGCCCGACGACTTGGTCGTGTTCATCGTGGTGAAGTTCTGCGGAACGGAGGAGCCCGGTCAGAGCGAGAGCGGGGCAGATCGGAGACACGGGAAGCGCAAGCCGCCGCGGCGATCAGCTTCAGTGTGAGGCAATCAATGCGCGAGATGGGCCGGCGACACTCACAACGCACAGCAGTCTGAAAATGCGGCGCTTTCCCGACTCGACCTGCACAGTCCCACCCCGTACCCGTTCACTATGTACTTCGGGCTAGCCCAACGCAGAGCCGTCGTATAAAGCAGAGCCCCAGGTACGGACAGGCCATGCCTCCGACAGGCGTCCAAGATGAAGCGCGTGCCCTGGACTGAGTCGCGTCCAAGGCTTTATGGACAGGGTAGTACGCATTATTAAAAAGCTCAAACTGGTTACCATCCCTCGCCAGGGTGAAAATATGCTTCGATGGTGTATCCTAAGGCATTCAACCGATAGTAACGAAATGTGGGGCAGACGAGTCTCGAGTCCCCCTCCATCAGACCGCAACCACTAAACTCTGCACACGCCAGGTTAGAGCTGTCAATGACCTTGCTCTCCAAGATCTGCTCATCAGTATATCAAAAATGAGTGCTCCACTATCGGCTGATTTTTGTGCTCAAGATGCCTGCAAATCAGTTCCAGTATATACTGGATAAACCATGATTTGCGCCGCGTTTACACTTTACGACGCATTTTCTGCCAACCTGCAGTGTTTGTCTTACGGTTCTCAAAGCATCACGTGGTTGCGTAACATACGCCACGAATTTGCATTTTTATTCAAGCTTCTGAGATACTGGCATACAAAACAAGCCCTAGTGTCGCTTACCGGCCACCCCACAGACACCCGCTGTAACCTATATTGACACCGTTCTACGCGTACTGCCCAGAGACCCCTTGCGTCTCTGCCACCCGCCAAACGTAACCAGCCTTTTCAACAAGACGTGCCCAGAAACCCGAGATTCAGAGACTTTCATGTTTGTAACACGTGTGTACCTTCAAACCTTGAATACACCCGATTACGATACCTTTCCCAACCTCACAAAACAGGACAACAGTGTCCTACAACAACACGAGGCGAAGCGGCGTGATGGAGGCCAGCGTCTGCAGTCGGGCGGACTGTCGCATCCACGTCTGCACGGGTCTTCACCGCACCACTACAGCGTACACGCCGCGCAGACTTCGGCAGGCGGCGCCGGGTCGGCCCGCGTGCGGCCGGGGCGAGCCCGCCGTCACAGCCGGCTACTGACCTCGCTGACCGTCGGGTGGATACCGATGGTGGCGTCAAAGTCCCACTTGCGCGCGCCCAGCCGCATGGCCACGGCGTAGCCCTGGGTGATCTCACCGGCGTTCGGCCCCACCACGTGGAAGCCGACCACCTTGTACTGCGGGCAGAGAGAAAGAGGTGGGGCGCGGGTGAGCCGACATTGCGCCCGAGGTGGGGGCCGAGATGGCGCCCGAAGCCCTTCAGGAACCCGCGTCTCCTCGCCGCGCGTACATGAGCAGGCGCAGACGCCGATCACTGGCCCTGGCACGCGGCGGTTGGAGATGGGAAGGTGTGAAGCCGGCAGCCTCAGAGGAAACATTGATCACGAGGATAAATCCCAGCCCGAAATCTACCGGTTCGTTCATCCAGAAAAATGTCAGCCCGGCGTGTCCTAAAATACAAATAAAAATAACTACATTCACACCAAGCGCATCAGGCACCGCGGCGCCCTGGTCATGCCCCCACCCCAGTCAGGCCAGGCCAGGCCAGGCCAGGCCAGCCCAGCCCAGGCCAGGCCAGGCCAGGCCAGGCCAGCCCAGCCCAGCCCAGCCCAGCCCAGCCCAGCCCAGCCCAGCCCAGCCCAGCCCAGTCCAGTCCAGTCCAGTCCAGTCCAGTCCAGTCCAGTCCAGTCCAGTCCAGTCCAGTCCAGTCCAGTCCAGCCCAGCCCAGCCCAGTCCAGTCCAGTCCAGTCCAGCCCCCCCCCCTCCTCCCTCCTGAACAACGCGAGGCCCACCTCCTGACTGATGCGGCAGACCAGCTTGCCGTAGCAGCCGTTGTCGTCGCGCTCGGCCACGGTGTGCTCCAGCGCCGTGAAGTACTGGTGGTACACCTCAATGTCGTCGGCGCCGAACCGGCTGACGGCGTCCTCCTCCGAGAGCCCGATGCAACCGTACTCCATCGGCGTGAACACCGTGGTGGGCACGTTGTCATAATCGGTCAGGATGGACGCCTCGTTGATGATGCGCTGCCGGCGGCGGCGGCGGCTCATTCCCAGGGTCGGGCAGCGAAGGTGACGGCTGCGCTAGGCGGGTGGCGAAGGCCGACGGACACGCGCGGCACCGGAAAGAACAGGGACGTGACGTCCTGGACACGCTGGCGAAGCAGCCACACAATACGGCCGTAGGAAAGGCAGATACAGCGTCTGCGCGGGCCCAGGATAATGAGCGCAAAATGACCACTGCAGTCGGCACAACGTAAAACACCAATACATGACAACGGGCCCAGGACTGACGGCCCCGTGGTGGTCTGAACCTCGGCTCGTTGCCGGTCCTCCATCGGTCTACTGTCCAGAGCGCCACTGCTGCCACGTGCTGAGCCGGGGCCAGGTATTCTAAACCGGGGTAGAAGCGCGCTCCACACGAGTGGATCTGGCAGCCGGCCGCGACGCCGTCGTGCGCATCGTCAGCTTACCCTGGCCAGCAGCCGGCCGGCCTGGATGGCGACGGGCGTCAGCTCGGGCCGCCCGCTGACCACGTCTCCGATGGCGTATATGTGTGGTACGCTCGACTGCTCCGCGTTCGTGCACACCACCTTGCCGTCCCTGGCGGCGGCCGGGGCGAGCTCAGCGCCGGCACGCGGCGGCGACACGGCCTCGGGCGCAGGCCGACGGCGCACCGCAGCCAACGCCAAAGCCGAACGGAAGAGAGCGAACCAACTAACGGCCGCAGAGATACAGATGAGAACAAATCCGAGTCTGTCTTGTTTGTAATGCATGTGGGCAATGAACAGCTGGTGCACGTTAATCACCGAACGATACTCAACGAAGAGAACTGAGCCCATACACCGCGCCCAAAAGTTAATCTTGTTTGAAAAAATCCGCGGACGTCATCCCGGCCCGCTGCCGCAAGCGCCGTGGTCGGAGTCAGCCCGCGGCCGGGGTACGTACTTGGGCGACAGCTCCACCTTGACCTTCTCGAGACCGATGTTTTGTGTGCAGGCGTACCGCCCGATGGCGAAGAGCACCGTGTTGTACTCGCCCTCCACCGTCTGGTCGCCCTGCTGCGCCGTCACCTGGCGGCACAAGAACCCACGTGTGCACGGTCACCGCAGACTTCTCCGTGCACCGATCGCGGACGAGCAACAGCCTATCGATGTGCATAACGCTCAGAGCACATTCTGTCCAGCAGCCCATACATGGCGCGAGCAGGCAAGTCATCAAAAAAGCAGACACAAATCATGGGTATGAAGACCGAGGCATCATGGGAAAACGCCGGATCTCAAACACCCTAGACAAAAAAAAACAACCAACTGTTCATAACGAACAATACTGTGCACATAACTCTGTGCATCTCACCAGCCACCGTCTGGACCACACCACTAGATATCCCAGCAGGCGGTCGGCATCGTTGGCAGCGCGCCCTCCGCCAGCAGCTGCTGCCGGCACTGACCTTGAGCTTGCGTGGAGGCCCCTCCTCCAGCAGCTCGACCTTGGTGGGCACGCACTGGCGGATGAACTTGACTCCGCGCTTCTCCATATGCTCGCCCACCAGGTCGGCCATCTGCTGGTCGAAGCCGCGCAGCAGGATAGACCGCACCTGTGGCCGGTCGTTCGGAGGCGCGCGTCAGAGCTCGCAGCCGCCCGTCAGAGTTCGGGGGCGCGCGCGCGTCAGCGGGCCGGCCAGAGAGGCACGGTGGTAAGACATCCGGCAGTGCGTCCGGGGGGGACACTAGCCACGAGAAGGCTCTGTGCTGGGATGGGCCCGAGAGGCCGTGGGCCTGCACTGACCATGATGTGAGGCCGTGGGCCCGCACTGACAATGGCGTTAGCCATGGGCCCGTACTGACCCTGACGTGAGCCATGGGCCCGCACCGACACTGCCGTAAGCCGTGAGCTCGCACTGACCATGACGGTAACGTCGAGGCCCAGGCCGCGCAGGAAGCCGGCGCACTCGAGCGCGATGTAGCTGGCGCCGACGATCAGCGTGCGCCCCGGCGAGCTGGGCAGTGAGAACACGTCGTCGCTGCTGATGCCGTACTCCAGTGCGCCCGGGATGTCGGGCAGCCGCGGCCGGCCGCCCGTCGCCAGCACCACGCTCCGCGTCGTGATCCGCTTCTCTTTCCCCTTCTTGTCCGTCGTCTGCAGCGGGACGGAAAGTTTGAAGGACGGGCCTTATGCACCAGTGTGTCCACGCCGGGTTGAGCAATACTGAGGCAGCCAGTAACCTAAATACACACAAAATGCCGTATCTTGGTGTAGCAAGTGGAAGAGCGCATTCCATCCCCATCCAATCGCCGTTTGATACCGGCCCCGATAGCATTAGGCCGTGTTGACAGTCCGACAGCTGCGGCGGGCGGCCGGCGGGCGGCCGGCGGGCGGGGGACCGGTCCGGGTCAACGGGTCAGTGCGGCAGCCTGTCGCCGGTCGGACGCTGGACAGAGCGGGGCCAGCTGGACAGTCGGCGAGTGGCCGTGTCAGCCGTGTCAGCCGGGATGTCTGGCTCGCGTCCAGACAGGCCGGCGCCGAGCCGAGCCGAGCCGAGCCGAGCCGAGCCGGGCAAGGGCCGGGCAAGGGCCGGGTAAGGGCCGGGCAAGGGCCGCGCCAGGGTGATCAGGGTGGGCCGTGCACGTAAAATGGGCGCCAGAGAACCGGCCACAGAAACGCCGCCGTCAGCAACAACTAGCCCCCAGCACAGCCGCAGCTGCATCAGAGAGCCATGCCCGCTTTGACAATGTCCTAGCCCGTCGATGTCCTTGGTGAATCACAGACACGATCACACATACGGCGTCCTGGCCGCGGCGACCGGCCGCCGGCGGGGCGCGGCGATGAGGCCACTCCGCCGTCCTGGTCCACCGGCCGCCGGCGGAGCAGCGAAGGGGAGGGTCAAGAGTGCCATGTGGGCGACGCAGTCGAGGCAGCGTCCGGTCGTCCGCCGCCACCGGTCGCTGGTTCAGAGACCGAGAAGCAGACAACGAAGGCTGGCAGAACTGCCTACCAACAGTCACCCTCTCTACTGCCAGCGTACGCGGCTAGCCTTCCCGCTATGAACCCATGGTTTCTGAGCGATTTTCAAGCAGTTCTAAACTGGTTTGTTTGGACCAAGATGACGTAATCTAACGCGGATTTCCGCGAGCTTAAGATCTAGCTCAAGTAGTTCATACCTGACGATTTAGTTACTCTATGCAAATCAATATATATATATATATATATATATATATATATATATATCCAAATGGGAATGCATGCTTTGATCCATTCACAACGTATTCCCTTCAGACGTCCATGAGTGAAAAAATGTGACGTGTCCCTTTCCGGGTCGCGTGATTTTCTCCGTGCTGTAATGCTCTAAATTTCTAACAAACAGGATCCATCGGCAAAGCCAGCTGCCATCTTTCACAAACAGGACTGAAACGGGTCAGGAAAGCGTGATAGGAAAGCCTCACTGAATTTGTGTTGCTTCAAGGAATGCAGCCGTCGTGCAAACTGCGGCGAAGCGGAGATTATATTCCACTGGTGCCTTCCATGGTGGGTCTCATGGGAGTACCAGTAAAACGCTGCGGAAGTTCCCGCGTCTGAGCCAACGTCAAAAGTCCAGGTAAGTGCACTGGTGGCTGGCCGAGTACCGATGAGTGCACTGGTGGCTGGCCGAGTGCCGATGAGTACGCTGGTGGTTGGCCGAGTGCCGATGAGCGTGCTGGTGGCTGGCCCTGTGCCGATGAGTGCACTGATGGCCGGCCGAGTGCCGATGAGTGCACTGGTGGCTGGCTGAGTGCCGATGAGTGCACTGGTGGCTGGCTGAGTGCCGACGAGTGCACTGGTGGCTGGCCGAGTGCCGATGAGTGCGCTGGTGGCCCGAGTGCCGATGAGTGCGCTGGTGGCTGGCCGAGTGCCGATGAGTGCGATGGTGGCTGGCCGAGTGCCGATGAGTGCACTGGTGGCTCACCTTTAGGGTGTGCTCGTCCTCAAACTCGGCGTAGGCGTTGAGGTAGGTGACGCGCCTCTCCCGGAGCTGCACCTTGTAGCCCCAGTTCAGCGAGCCGATGTGGTTCTGCACCGCCTGAACCATCTTCTCCCAGCTATGGTTCTCTGCGGCACACCCCACACCTCATCACATTGGACGATCACACAGCGTCTGAGACTTCGTGAGGCCAGTTTTCAGTAAAGCTTGCCGGCCGACAGTGGAAATTCGCTGTCATGGCAAAGTGCCATGTTTACGGTCACTGGGCCAAACTGAGCGTCATATTAGCTTGGCTTACAACGTGCCTTCAGCCATAAAACGAAGTTGAAGCAAATTTGTACGACGAAAACTAGGCAAACAAACGTCACTGGGAACACCAGGAGCTTGGCAACCTAGTTCCAGCTCCATTAATAATTGAACGCAGCCATCAGGCCAACAAGGCCGCTTAAAGATGTTTCCAGCGAGGAACAGTACTACCACGAGACAGGTAGAGCATAAGTTTAGCATAAGTAGAGCAAGAGGGCCCGCCCGCTGTGCCCTCCCGGACGCCAGCTGCCACCGGTACCCCAGTCTGGACAGCCCGAAGCCCAGCTAGGTAAGCGTCATCCTAACCATCGGTCACACGGTAGGACCGCATGGGCACGCGCGCACCTGCCATTCAGACAGCGGGTGCTGCGCGCTGGGACACGTACGTTTCTCGACGGACCAGCCGAACTTGGCGGCGTCGTCCACGGCCTCGCCCAGCAGCGCCGCCTGGTGCATCAGCTTCTTGGGGATGCAGCCGACGTTGACACAGGTGCCGCCCAGGCCCCAGGTGGTGCCCTGGTGGAGAGACGCACCCCTGCCGCCTCAGAACCGGGCGACCAGCCGGACGGAAATGCAACAGCACATATAAATGAATTATATCGGAACAGTGTGTCCAAGCGGGCGAAAATGCCATCGCACTCTGAAAGAAATAATAGTCACTCGGCGGAAAAATCAGGAGATAAATACCACCAAGCATAAATGGAGCTTAGGCATGAAATAAAAAAGTACAAAAAGCGGAAGTTGAGAGAACGGAGTTCTAAAAACAAAAGCACACCACAAATTGCGGCAAAATGGCCATATTACTGACTTAACGGTGCGAAAGCGCGTATAATGTCGACGTGTGACCATGTCAAGATGTGACGCTGCCGCCAAACTTGAAGCTGTCCCTGTCTGACCGGGGAGGTGAAGCTTATGCGTTTGATGTCATGCAATGAATCATTCAGTGAACGTGGCAGCCACAGGGCAGACTACTAATAACCGCGCTGGTGCTGTCTCAAAGCTACGTCAGATACCAGCAGGCTGCAATGATTTATGACAGAGGCCTGGGGTGCGCGACCCCCCCAGTACCGTGGGCAATTTCGACTGTCTCACACCTGCGCTGGAATGTTGTCATAAAGCATTCGCCTCTGGACTGGTGCATTCTCTCGACGGCTCGTCCCATGGGCAACTCAGATAAGAAACTTCCAGGAGGCCGAACAGCTCACACATACCGACAAATAGCTATCACTCCTCGCACTTGATGCCATAACACATAGATACAATAACCATTAACACATACAACACATTCTCACCAAACTTCAGTATGCTCCTCGCTTTGCTTTCTCCGCTCTTTTTTGGCAGCCCCACAACACACTTTCTTGCAACACATGCTTCAATAATTTCGGTGATAATGTAGCTACCCAGATTGTTATAAATTGACGCCGTTCACATCCGCATATCATTGAGAATGGGCACGTCTCCCAAATGCTTAAAGTGCTCATTCAGCTGCACCCAAGTTTTTTTCTGAATCTATTTTTCTACGCGCAAAACGTTTTCAGATGAGGGTTTCTCTGTACACTAACCGTCAGCAATTTAACTTACAACTGGACGCTGCGTTACGGGGCTGACCAAGATCGCAAGGAAGACAGCTAGGCGCTTGTTTGAAAGCGATGCTGCCGTTCAAGGGCAAAAGGCCCAAGCGTCATGGCTTTAAGACGAATTATTTAAATTATTCAATGCACCTCGAATTACTACATCTTTCGACATAGACACAAATTTGGAGCACTGCGTTCAAATTAATTCCAGGTTTATCTTCTAAGCACAAAAGTATGTTTCATGCACTGAAACCTAAAAATGTTCCTCCTGCACGATTCTCCTGATGGCGCGCAGGTCTGTTTGCCCTCGGCCGCAACAATGCCTTTCAACGTCAGGCGGACCATAAATGTCATTAATTTGTTTCCGCCCGCACCACGCGTCGAGAAGGAACGGGACACCCGCTGCCGGTGGTGGCAGCTGCGCAGACCGGCGGCAGCCCGTGAGCCCGGCCAGCAGGCTGAAGCGGGCACGCGGTCGATACACTCCACGGCAAGCGTACTGTGCTGTCCTGTGGGAGAACGATCGTCGAACATACCCACAGCCGCAGCTAGTGGGGGGGGGGGGGGGGCACGCGGACGCCCGAACACGGCCACAAACCTGCGGCGAGGGCTTGACGAAGTCGCAGACGGCGACGCGGGCGCCGAGCTTGGCGGCCTCCTTGCTGCAGGCGAGGCCGCCGGAGCCGCCGCCGATCACCACCAGGTCATAGTCGTACTGGGCGTCACCGCCGCCGCCGTTCAGCATCGCCCGCAGCCGACCGTCGGCGTGCGCCTGCGGCCGCAGGTCAGGTCAGGTCGGGTCAGGTGTGAGGTCAGGCGTCAGGGCTCAACGACAACGGGCTGAAGGTCATAGCTCACTGACACGTTAGTGTTGCACCGGTTCCGAACAAGTACGCAGTCAGAGCGACCCCACAACAAACACGTGATAACCCAGAGCCCGGGCTTGCACGCCTTAGCAGCGGCCGAGACGGGAGTTGGCTGCCGACCGTGGCTGCGCCGGAAGTGAGCCGCCCCTGTCCCGGGAGTGAGCCGCCCCGCTGCAGCCCAGCCCGGACCGAGCTGTCCGCCCCTACCACAGAGGCCCGCCACTGCACGGCGGACGATACACACGCGCACTTGGCTGCAAATGTGCTGGGTAAGGCATTAAACGTAGCCCACAACACCGATCTCTGTGGCCCCAAGTGCATGGAAATACAGCTTACAATGCTAGGACAGTCGTTGTTTATGTGTAGTTTCCGGAGCTGGACTCAAGGATGAAGTCAGAATTCATTCGCTACGGCTATTCAATACTTGGTTCATATAACCTCAATGGCAAAGCACCCTCCTCGTTTGGCAACATCTATCCACATCACAAACAGGACGCCCCCATCCGGCTGCGTGGCCGCGACGTTGCAGCGAGTCGGTGGGCCCGCCGCAACCACACCGCAGGTGCCTCACCAGCTCGTCGAGCGCTGGGATGGGGCTGGTGTGCACGTCACAGGGACTTTCCGAGGGGACTCATTCACGGGCTTCCCATGCGGTTAGAGCTTCGGTGGCCTTCCGGACAAATTTCCCTAACTGATGCACAAGCTATACCGGATTTGCTGAATGCAGATGAGTCTGCATTGCGCCTGTCTGCAGTCGGCATCAGTCGGCACCACTCAAGCCCCAACCATCTGGCACAAATGTTTCCATTAACAACGACCGACGCTGGGAAGCCTCGCTGGAGCCTCAAGATCATCCTCGTAGCCTTGACTGCGTGCTGGGCATTGCATGTAGCGCCCCTAGTCGAGGCGGACCCACGCATGAGCGGACCTTTCCGCAACAACACAAACACTGCGCACCAGTTCAGTCCGTCTGTTCGCCGCCAGCCAGGCGTATGCCCAGGGCCGGAAACCGAGCCGGCGCGCCTTACCAGCCGCAGCCTCGGCTCCGGCGTCGCAGGATGGCACAGAAGGGCTCGGCGGTGTACCGCCCGGGGGCTGGAGTATGTACTGGAGTACGGGGGCTGGGACAGCGCCCCGCCCCGGCCGTCAGCTGGAGGCCGCACCGTCTCCACTGACCTGGAGCGTGGTGTCGCAGCCGCCCAGGTGCTGGCCGTTGACGAACAACGTTCGGCACCGTCTTGTTGCCGTCGCTCCAGCAGCGCGTCCTGGATAGCGGCGCATCCTCTGGAGGAGGACGCAATGTGCGTCAGATGGTGACGCCGGAGGGACCAGGTCCGATCTGGGACACCGGCGGCTACAGTGCGGGCTGACGATTGTTGCCCGTAAGTGACCCCCCATTCCGCGGGTTGGGGAGGAAGCCACTGGTGTCAGAGATGAGGCATTCACGGTACAGTAGCACTGGCAGCCAGGCTTAAGTCATTAGCAGCGGGGCTTTGGCCGGTATCCGAGACCGTTGCTTCTGTTCAATGACGCTGAAAGCTGGCGCTGACCGCCTGTACCGCTGAGCTTGGTCAGCTCTGATCCACCGCTCATCGCAGGTGGACTGGACACCCGCACGGAATACATGTCAGGTTTGAGACGCTATGGCGTACGTTATCGACGTCCCGGCCATCTTGAGGGTTAAACGGTCAAGCGAGTCAAGGTCAGACCCAGTCAGGTCCACTCAGGGCGCAGTGTGGCCGCACCTCGGCTGGCTAGTGCGCCGCACACTGTTCCGATTACTCCAACCCGCTGCTGAACGCTGAGCTGCTACTGCCGCTGGGCAGACGATTTCACAAACTGGGGTAACAACCAGTGCGCGTAGGCGGCAGATCGGTTGCTATTAGCGCTGAAACACAGCGCCAACTGCCGGTACGTCATACGTGGGTTACTGCTCGGGTTAAGCACGTAACGGCGGAACGAAAAAGGGCCATTCCGTCCACCATCCCCAGCCGGCGTGCTCCAGATCAAACCACCGTCGCCGGGGTCGCAGTCCCACCGCGACCGAATTTCGATCCGCGCCGAGCGAGGTCAGTCCGCCCCATCTCCTCCTTCGGTCGCATGTGACGCAGCTCGCGGACGCGGGCCGTCCTGGGCATGTTACGGACGGCGGGCTCCGCATCCGTCCCTGGAAGTCGGCCGCCGAGCTCAGAGCGAGGCGAGCCCGATGGCCGACGGTCGCCGCTGGACGGCCGCTGCCGGCCACCTCGCCGCGCCGGAGACCGCCCACGGCCCACGATACCAGCCGGACAGCTGACGGCTGGTGACGCCGGTGTCAGGTGTGCGGGTGCAGCCAGGCGGACACGGGCGCGCGCGCCGGCGCCGGCTCACTGCTGGTGGCGCCGCCGGCCGGCTGTTACGTAAGGCGCGGCGCGGCCGCCTTGTGCGCCGGTCGGAGATGACCCGGCAGCCAAGGCCAGCGCCGACGCGATAGCGCCGCGGCGCGGCATGACTCAGCAGTACTGCTGCCGCGCCGAGCCGAGGCGGGCCGGGCCGGGCCGGGCTGGGCCGGGCCGGGCCAGCCCAGACCCCCGGTCACTGGGTGCTGACCGGAGTAGTCAGGTGGGCCGGTCCCGCCCAGACGCCGTATCACTGGGCCCTGGTCCGACCCGGCCGGCACGACACGTGTTACCCTGCGCCTGGGACCTGGGCACGTGCAGCCGTCTGGTGTGTTCTCGTCGCTGACGTGTGCGGGAGAACTTCAGTGGCTCCATGTCTGTGTGGCGTGTGCGGGGTAGCTTCAGCGGCTCCATGTCCGTGGGGCGCGTGCGGGGGAGCTTCAGTGGCTCCATGTCTGTGTGGCGTGTGCGGGAGAGCTTCAGCGGCTCCGTGTCTGTGCGGCGTGTGGGGGAGCTTCAGCGGCTTCATGTCTGTGGGGCGTGTGCGGAGAAGCTTCAGCTGCTCCATGCCTGTGCGGCGTGAGCGGGGGAGCTTCAGGGCTTCATGTCTGTGGGGCGTGAGCGGGGGGAGCTTCAGCGGCTCCACGTCTGTGTGGCGTGTGCGAGGTACCTCCAGCGGCTCCATGTCCGTGTGGAATGGGCGGCGAGTTTTAGCGACTCCATGTCTGCGAGCTTCCCCGGGCGGTGTCGGCCGTGTGCGCCGCCGCAGCTGTATGTCGTACCGCGCGGCCCGTTGCGCGCGGCGGCGGAAACAATGCTCCGACGGGCCGAGCCAAGGGCGGCGGGCGGCGCGCGGCGGCGCGGAGAACAGGCCACGACCTTCGGCTTCCACCAGCCGCCTCCGTACGTCCCCACCAGCCACCGATCGGAGCCGGGGTGCCCGCTAGTGTCACCGGGCCCCGGCCGGCGGACGTCCGGGCCCAGTCGAGGGCGGGCCCGACGGTTACGCCCACAACAGCCGCAGGGCAGCCTGCGTGAAGGCCGGTGAGGGCCGCAACCTTGAGTGATGTTTCCACTCGAAGTAACATTTATGGAAGTCATTCTAAATCAGGATGCTATACTGGGTTACGGAAACTATACAGAAAACTGAGGACAACAATTAACAGCACAGGAGAAGGGCGGCTTGCCGTATAATGCCAAGATGCACAAATCGCAAAAAGGGCAGCACAAGCGAGCACCAAAAGAAGCCAGGGGAATCTGCAGTCCATAAAGCGCGATTGACAGCACAGCTGCGCCCACCTCGGCAACACCCGCGCCACTGTCATGGACCATCCGACTGCCCCTGCTCTGTCCACTCCGTGCACGTTCCCCAACCGACCCCTAGCAGAAGATCGCGTGTCATCGTAATTGGGAACAGTAATGACCTAGTCTCTAGATGTTAACCGACGCCGTCTCAAATGATCGCTGCCAAGGGCCACGCAAAAGCTCTAAACTCGCAGGGTATGAAACGTGTCAGGGTACACTGAGTGAGACGTGACGGCAATGCCGAGGCAGAGGGTATGGGGATGTGGAGCAAGCGCAATGAATACATATGAGTCGGCATGGGAATCCTAGTATGTGAGAAGCGACCCGTGATACGCAGCACAGCACCTACCTTTTCACGGTGTTTTAAAACCTTTCCAGCAAGTACAAACATGTCCACCGTTGCCTATATCTTACACCAATCAGACCAAATTCGGTACACCAAACACAAGTTATCACCGGAAGCAGGGCAACACGTATCTGCAACGTGAGCGTAATCACGCGCACGCACCAGCGCCAGGCACGATCCGTCCACCAAACAGGAAACGCCGTCCGGACCACGGGACAAGGAAGCAAACATCACCAACCGGCAACGGGACGACGGTACACACCCAGGTGCGACCCCGCGACGGGACAAATGAAAACCGAGCCAATCAGACAATCGAAAGGATGTGCTGATTTGTCAACTCATTAAAATGTCTCGCGCGTCCAACGGTTCAGCTGCTCTACTTCACAGTTCCTTCTCCACCGAAAGGTCGCGCTCACTTCGAAGGGTCTGAGCACCAGTGGAGTAACTGCGCTGTATTGTCCCCAATTACAGTGGGTGGGCTAGATTAGTGGTCGCCCTCTCAGTCGTCGAGCCAAAACGCCACAAAATGGGGCAGGCGAAACACAGTCCGAACCCGGCGGCGCCGACAAACTGGGTCAAAGGCTGGGGCTGAGGCGACCGCCCCATGCCCCCCCCTCCCCACCCCCCGAGATGTGCCGGGTCGGCAGGTGAGTCTGGGTCCTGACACCGGTGGTAATCTTACAGGTCCGTGCGCGCCTGTAACAACTCAAGATGGTTATCCAATCGACAAAGCCCTACACGCGTGTTTTGCGTGTCAGCGTGACTATCATTGATCAGGACCGGTACCCAAACGGATAGACCAGGCAGTATGGAGTGGGCACACATATCTCTCTGAATATGCACAACGTCGGCTTCGTACGCTAATTAAAATAAGCCGCAGCATCAGCTTACCAATGAAATCCAGTGCCAATATACACTAATGCAACGGCAACGCAGCCGTAGCAATGTCATCGGACATCAAATATCCGCGACCGGGCAGACCATATAAGATAGGGGGGGGGGGGGGGGAGCGGGCTTAAGAGCGCTTTAAAACTGCGCGGTCACATAGCGCCATGACGAGATCGATGACATCCAGCTCAGGGCACGCCGGCTGAGAATATGGGCAGAATGCCAGCCCCGCTTCAAACTGCGCGGCCATATAGCGCCATGACGAGATCGATGATTCCAGCTCAGGGCAACCGGCTGAGCATACGGGCAGATGCCAGCCCCGCTTCAACTGCGCGACCATATCGCGCCATGAGAGATCGATGACTCCAGCTCAGGGCCACCGGCTGAGTATACGGACAGAATGCCTATATCTCCAAAGTTGCATACCGCGAAACGAGCAAAACAGGGGAAGAGAATTCAGCGCCTAACATATCCATTCAGTTATGACGACAGGCGACGTGTACACCAAAAGCATGTGAATTACGCAACATCAGTACCACGGGAAAACGCTCGTCAAACGCTCGTAAACGCTCGAAAGACGCGCATATGCCAAAAAAACAGAGACAATGAAATTTTGTGGCGAGCACATACCAGCTCAGACAAATGCCTCCCCGATATGTCATGTTTATACAAGCCTATTATATGCAATTTAAACAAAATACACCCAATGGGCGCCAGGAAGTGAAGATGGAAAGCAGCGTGCCCAAGCCATTTTAGGGCTGGGTAATTGGCCTTCGGTGACAATGTGGCTCAGTGGCAGCCAGCCCTCGGTGACAGTGCGGCGTCAGTGACGCCCGTTGACAGTTGGCCCTCGGGACAGTGTGGCGTCAGTGACAGCCAGCGACAGTCGGCCTTCGGTGGCAGTGTGGCGTCAGTGACAGCCAGTGACAATTGGCCCTCCGCGACGTGCACCGTCAGTCACAGTCAGTGACAGTCGGCCCTTCTGACAGTGTGTGTAGCATCAGTGACAGCCCGTCACAATCGGCACTCAGTGGCAGTGCAAGCCTCAGTACCAACCGGCCCTCCGTGACAGTGCAGCGCCAGCGACAGTCGGCCCTCAGCGCAGTAACAGCGCAGCGGGTCGCGAGGGAGGGGGATATCTGGCATTGGCGGATAAGGTCAGCTCTGATGAGCCCGAAGCCAGATTCCGCGGTGTCTCATGGGATGTCCGTCACGTGATGGCCCGCCATTTAGTACCCATTCGAGGCAAATGTGCCTGCAGCCGGGCCACATAAACGATCACTTTCATCAGTCCGCATCAAAGGGCACGCTACGCGGCTGGCCTATTGAAACCCGTATGACAACGGAATATCTGATCGATCGGGCCC